TCCTCATCCTCCCTGAATGGTCTCTCAAACTTACCCATTCAAAGAGAACCAGAGCCTACTGAGCCCTATTCTACCAGGAAAAAAGGGGGAGAATGTAGAATTCAATGTGTCAACACTATTGACACCAAAGCTACAAGCCATTGTTACTGTCCTCTCTAGTTCCCCCCCAAAACTTTTGTGATGTGATAGCAGTAAATTCCACTCTTGCTGGAGTCACATGGGCCAGTCCTTGAAAGGAATTAAAAGGTATCACGTGCCTACCTTGCAATAAATTACCCATTTTTTGTATCTCCAGAAATCTCTTCCTGAACATTTCTGGTGCTGACACAGTCTTGCATTTGTAACCCCCAGGATATGCAGTCCACATCCTCTACACCTCGTTTTTTGGCCTCACCAACAGCAAGGAGAAAAACAGTATTTCATACTCAATTCCTCACTCAGAACTTACGCTTTCTAGCAGGGTTCATGCATCTCTCCTACCACCACTTAAACTGGAGAAGCAATTTTATGCTTTTATGTCCCTTTTTTTTTTCGTTCTACTTCTCTGAATTACTGCTCACCTTTTTCCAATACCAAAATCCCTGGCTGCAGAATCTGTTCTTTCATGTCATACACAAGTCCAGGCTGAGTTCACACAGTTCTCCTGGGATTACTGTTGGAGCCTATGTATACATACTGGTAAGATTCATTCACACTTAATCTCCTTCATGTTCTTTTTGCTAAGCAGTTTCTACTGTCCATCACAGTGAGATAAAGTCAAAGGTGTGGCTTATACAAAGACTGGACTGCTGTACCAGCTGCATCACTTTCTTTCCACGCACCAGTAAGAAACTCACTTTAAATATGGGCTATTTTTAAACAAAAGGTTATAGTTTTGCATTAATTTCTTGGGCCATGGAAAGAGGAAAACAGTTTCAGACTGGTCTCCCCTGCCTGAAAGTGTTTGCCTATTAAAGGTCCTTCTAAGATCACCTTGCAGAAAAGCACTCTACAAGCAAGAACAGGGTTTTGAAAGCATAACATGTAGTTGAACTGCAGAATACTGGCCAGTTTGCCTCAAGCAAACTACCGTAATTTTAGTATTGCCATGTTGCTGATCTGAATTGATAAGTTTTTTATAAATAGATGTAAACAATTCCTTCTCCTCAGTTAAAACTGAATGTAATGCTAAAAATACCTACCTTTTATACATCATTAATTGATTCCACCATAATTCCACTATTTCCTTATTATAACCAAGACACCCTGTGATACATAATAATACCCACTCACTAATCCCTCTCTGATATTCTATTTTACTGCTTCATGTGATTAAAAACAAGGAAGTGAGGAATGATTCTACAAATACCAGTATATTATGTGGACAATATCTCAACGTATCTGCTGGTACTAAGTGCCCATGAGCTATAGATAGCCAAGAAAAAAGAAGACATGTTTATCAGGATCCTAAAGTTTGTTTTATGACAAACTGTAGTTTCAAGGAAAATATTTTAAATAGAAGATAATCTGTATTATGTTTGCAAAAGTGACTTCCTCAACAACTCACCATTTTTGTGTGCCGATGTGTTTAAGATGATCATGCACCTAACATACAGACTTAAGCTTGAATTCTATGCACAAAAATAATGAGAAATATAATCATGTTCAAAATCATTATAGCAGTTTGTCTTTCTGCATTTCTCAGAGAGGTAAAGCAAACAAAAGTAGAAAATGTACAGAGGGAGGAGAGTGCCAGACTTGCACTGGTTTCAATAATCAAACTTGCACTGGTTTCAATAATCTGGCTTAAAGATCAGGTCTGAAGAGCCATCCTATTCTGGTATAGCCTTATATGATGGACTGAATTTACAGATCAAATTGTATTTGGTTTACAAGTGTTATTTCTATGAAAAAGTTAGTACAAGGCTAAATCACAGTCAAGAATTGAAATAATTCTTCAGAGAAAAATCATCACAACGCTGCCAAATAGATTTGTAGTGCTTTTAGAACATGCATTATTCTGATTTCACATCTCATGGATATAGTAAAACTGAAAAAGGTACAAACAGCAATGAAAGTAACTGATTATTTTCATATAAGAAATAATGAATGATATCTCTTTACTCCAGAAAAGACAACCAACATGGCAAAGGTCTACACAGGCCACATGGAAAAATGAATAAAGAGCAAAAGCTTAATGTATCTTACAAGTATTATTTGCGCCGAATGAAACTAGCAGGTGCCAGGTTCAGAAACAAACGGATGTATTTACACACTGTGAAAAGCTCTTTGTCACAGGAGGCTGTGTATGGTAACAGTTTATCCGTGTTCAAGAATAATTCTAGAAAGTATTGGTCAGTTTAACAAAAAATATACACTGAGGGCTATTAAATTGAAAAAAAAAATCACAACTGTCTGAGGGAGACTGGATCACACATTAGTGGATACTACAATATCAAGGCCTGTTATTATGCTCCAGACTGCTACTGTTGACTGCTTCAAGAGACATAATGGGAGGATAGACGGACCATTACTCTGATAATGGTGTTACTAATCTTGAGTCAGTAAACACACTCTAGGTGCATTTTAGAATCTAGGTTTTTGTGAGCACTTTCGGCTGTTCTTTTCAAAGGAAACAGCCTCACCATAACAAACATTCATATTTAATAAAAATTGTTTACTTTAAAATCAATTTGGGCTACTAAAATTCTGCACTACTACAAAATATAAGCAAAATCAGCTATGAAACAAACTGTAAGGAAGCTATGGAGTCCCTTCAAATGCCAGCTTTTAGTAATTTTCTGACCTACGTACATGAGTAAGTTTCTCTTCTCTTGCTTATCAGGAGAATTTCTGATTAATTTTTCTCATTGTACTCTTTTCTTTATGTCAGTGAAATCGGAGTGGGTTTGAATGACTTGATGATAACACAGTTGGTTTGAACAGGTACTTCTATGATTTCTATGACTTCACATAAGGAGCCTAATGCGAAGCCTAATTGTGTCTAGTATAGTGTAGAGGCAGAATCCCTAGAAGAAAACGGCAGCACATGCATGGGTTTGAACAGTGAGGCAAAATGAGTATCATTTTCTACTCAAAGCAAAGTGATGCTATTATGCAGAATATGTTCATTTAGGTAAATATCAAAGATATTTTTTTCATTTTCATCAAAAGACACCTTTTTCATTCTGGGACTATAATCTGGGACTATACCTTAAGTTCCAAGTTCCTCAATAAAGCTTTTCTAACTTTTCTCTTTATTAGAGTTAATTATAGCATAAAACTTTCTACTACATTAGCACACAGAAAAATGTCATGCAAAGATTTTCTTCTCCAGGCTGCCTGCAACAGTAGAACCTAGTCTTAAGCTTTCCAAACAATATAGACATTCACCCAACAACAAAGAGAAATAAAAATTAAAAAGGAAAATCAGCCATTGCAAGAGAAGAGAAAAATACAAGAAACTCAGTTCCAAAGTTCGACCAGTGAAATAGAAATAAAATGTTTTGCTGGTCTATATGGTTTTAGAGTATGAAAAATGTCCATGAAGGAACTGCCATTCTCTGCCATCTTCCTCGTCTGGAAAACTCACCTGCAATATTCAACTGCAAAATCCAGTCAAACTTAAAAAGCCTTAATACTGTAAACTCCGGCAGACAGGCAGCGCTTAACTGCCAGGCATCTTCAAAACTGATTACCTTTAATGAGAAATAGGCAGCTTTTCCTAAAATAAAGACAAACCTATCGTCTCCCTAAAACTGACAGCTTCCATCTTTTCTAACCCTGAGATAAGATGGAGATTGCTGAGAGGCAACTTCCCAATTCAAAGCTTCTAGTTAGTGCAGACAGGAAAGGTACCTATGGAACGCAAAAGCCTTTATTCCCACTTCCACAAGACTCCAGTTAACTAGTTACCAGATTACTTTTCAGAGGAAACTGAAGGGAAGCCAACACAGAGGGAGTAAGCTGTGGTCTAATTCTACAACTCAAGATCCAAACTGCCAAACTGTATAGCAAATGGCGAAGGAAGGAGAAAACTCAACAGGATGAAAAGCAAAGCTGAAGCTTCATCTTGATAAAAATCAGCCTAAGAATGCTGCTATGTAAAAGTATTTATGCTTTTATCCCCCTTTAAAGCCATAGCTATTGAAAAGGCAACTAATATTCATGAGGAGTTCTGAAATCTTCCCTTCTAGTGTCTAAAAAAAGAAAAAAACACAAAAAAATCCTACACATACAAAGATGTTCAGCCTGAGACTGAACTCTCTCAAGCAGCTAACAGAGACTATGACCTCAGATTTTAATACAGCACTTCTAAAATCATCATCATAAAAATCATAATAAAATAAGAGCTCCTATACAGGTAGCTAAGTCAGTATATGCTAAGTCCCAAAAGAAACCAAAAAACCTTCCTATTTCCATGAACACTGCAGCAGGCAGCTGTGAACTCAGGTGACCTGCAGAAAATAACCCAAGGGTTTTATCAGATCAAAAGCTGAACTTAAGCCAACAAATACGAATACAGTGCAAAAAATGGGAAAATTAATGTAATATGTGAATTATTCCCACTCAAAGCACTAAAAAGGCCTCTTTTAATACTGTGTGATGTTTTAGCACTATCCTTCCAGACAGAACGATTAAAAGCTAAACAAAAAAAAATTACAAATCTAGAAAGCATGACTGGTGAAAAAACCAGACAGCTTGTTATGGCTACATGGAAGATTACAGAGTGTTTACAGTTACCAGACACCTGGAAATGCATACAGGGCTGAGAGAGAATAATGAACATATCTATGAGCTTTATGACAAAACATGGTAGTCCTAACCAGCAACCAGTGTGACTTAGATTGGTGTCTGGGAAATGACTTCTAGCCTTACCACATCACTGGAGATTAAATAACTTCATTCTACTATATCCCAAAGGCTGAGATGCACCTGCTTTAAGGAGGATGATGTATATATGTATTCTGCCATGGTGCAATAGATACACACATTTTTAAACTATTGCCAACACAAAGCAGTACAGCAACTTGATTTATTATATGCAGATTCTTCTGCATTGTTGCTAAACAGTACACTGGTCCAAAGTTACTAAAATACTTAAAAAACTATACATATGTAAACAAAACATAAATAAGACAGCAGAGTTCTTTGTACATATAGTTTAGTACAGATTGTTAGGAACTTATGAATATGTACAATTCTATACCATAGACTGCATTTTTACAATGCATAAATATTTTTTACAGAACAAATAAAAAATAAATTTGACAAATAAAAAGGAGACATAAACTGTCATAAACACTGGCAAACAGTCCATACTGTATGATGGAACATGTGCAAAAGGCTAGGTTTCTCTAAACTAAGATGTTTAATGAATTCGTCACTCATTTTTGACCTTTTTACTAAAGAACTCTGAAAATTCCAAACAAACTAAAACTTTTCTTCTTAATCCCCACAGGTAAACAGGAAAGAACTGTAATCTCAAGTAATTTTTAGTAAATCAACTGTTTCAAACAACGTAAGAAATTATTCAATAGTTACAACTTTCAAAGTCAGAAGAATCCCCAAATTTTCAAAGTGGCTCATTTGCAATAAATTCAGGATGCAGCTTTGTCAGGTTTATCAAGGCAAGATGACTGAGATGCAGGGAAGACAGTGGTAGGATTTCTGCTTGTGGATACAACAACAGGAAGCAGTGCTGAAGACATGGAAGAAACTTTTGATGCTGGAGTATTTATAGCATTCAAAATTGCTCCCTCTGGACTGACCAACAGTTTTTTGATAGAAGTGTCTAAGTGAAGCACCGAAGTATTGCTTGATAAATGAGAGTTTGGCAAATGAATGGCAGAAACCACAGAAGATGCAGCTACTACATTGACAGGAGATTTTATCAAGGAAGACATAGATGGTGTTGCTGCAGACAGTGGAGTACATGAATTAGCTGGAGTACTAAGTATCTGGGGTGTTGCATGTACGATGGGTAATGCATCTGCAGACCCAAAGGAGCTCACAATTTTTGTGGAGTTTTTCAAATGATGTTTTGATATCTGCCAACTTAATGAATTACTTGGTACTAGCATCATTTTCGAAGTTATTGGATTAACAACTGGTACATCTTGAGCCTCTTGACCATGGTTGATAGTTAACGGAGGAGTCTGTTTTGTATTACAAGAGAGAAGAAGAACATGGCTGCCAGCTACAAGGCCTTGCGGTGGAACAACAAAACGAGTACCATTAATCATTATTTGAGTTCCAGGTGCCAAAGGCATACAGGTGTTAATGACTATTTTCTGTTGAATGCAAGGTTCATACAACTGACTTCCTGCTTTGCTTGTTACAGTTGGTGAAGCTGCAGGCATATGAATCGTGGAAGCACAAGTGTAAGCATGACTTTGTTTCTCTGTACTGGGAGGCACCTGCTGGCACTGCAGGGAAGAAAAACTGGGAAAATTAATGACTTTCCCTGTATTTTGTGATGGAGGGGGCAACATGCTCTGAGGTTTTTGAGTACCTGCGTTACTTGGCATAGCAGCTGAAACTCCTGATGACTGAAACTGAAGCAGTGTGGGTAACTGGCTTTTTGGTACTGGAGGAGGAGCTGGAACTGCTGCTAACTGAGGAACTGTGCATAACACTTTGTGGGGCGTGGTTATAGATCCAGGCAAGCTAATGACTGGAAATTGCAAAGCAGATGCTAAGTTTTGAGGAGACACTGCTGGTTGTGTTGCTGAAATCAGCACAGATGAAGCAAGATGTCCTGTTTTCACAGTTGATATACCCACAGTATTTCCAATATTTGATGTACACAGCCGACTACCCATAACTGGCCTTATTCTCAAGGGATCATTTCCACCAACCAAGACAGTGGGCCGTGTCCCAGAAGAAGCCCCACTTGATGTTACTGAAACAGATTCTACACATGCATTTGCTGCTGTTACTGTAAGAGCATTTTCAGCTTTTGTTGTAACACATACAGATTCAGTAACTGACACAGTGCTTCGACTCACAAAACTTGGAACAGGAACCGAAGTACTACTACCTGTCAAAGACAGCGCCAAGTCCATGCTCTTTTTGTCTTCTCCCTTAGAAATGGCAGAGTGCAATATATTCACTGGTGGAGCCTGCTGTGCATTGCCTTTGGTATTTACAATGGTTTGACCTATATTTAGTCCAATTTTCACATCTTTTACTTGAGCAATACTTGGTGATGAATTTATTCTTATTGGTGTTCCTATTGTAGATGGGATCAGAACCAGCTGTGGTTGCTCTGTGGCACTAACAAAGGTTTTGTTTAGGGACGAAGGAAGATTATGTTTCAATGACTCAGCAACTAGATTGGTGGTTGATGGGCCATTAGCAATTTGCGTGTTAATGAAAATAAACTTTGGAGCATTAACACCAGCAGATGCTGGAGAGGGTATAATACTGACTCCTGATGCCCCACAGGGTGAGAAGATGGGTGGATTTGTGAGTAATGTAAGTTTCTGGACTGGCATACCACTGATTAAATCTCCAGCTGTTGCTGAGTTAGACTCAAACTGTGTAACAGTTTTAGTTTTAGTATCCTCTTGTTGTAGCACAAAAGAATCTGGAGTTACAACAGTGTTATTCTGTCCAATGCTAGTCACACTAGGAGGACTGTTTGGAGTTGTTGACATCAGATTGCTGGCTAATGAAATGGAGGACGAAGAAGGAGAGGACACACAGCTAGAGTTCCCTATTACTTGGCCCAAAGTGCCTCCAACAGCAGGCTGGTGTAACGTCAATTTGATATTCTTCTCTGTTGCCTGGGTAAAATCAGCTGGGAAAGCTGGAATGTTAACAGAAGAAGCTGTTGAGGGATCAAATCCAGAAAGAGATGATTGTCCAATATGTGGGAGACCAGACGTGGCTGTTGCTACAGATGGAACAGTAGAACACGATAATGCTGTGGTTTTTGGCACAAGAAAAGCCTGAAGTTGAGGTGCATAAGTGAAAACTGAACTAGAAGATAAACTAGGTGAAATCTGGTCTGGGTTTGTTCGCACTTTAACAATTCCTGTGTTTCCACCTCGTGTTGTGACCAGAATAGACTGTGATTCTCTTATACACACAGTCTTCAGCTCTTGCCTAGTTTCAAAGGAGTCAGTTGTCTGCTGAGGTGCAAGACTATGACAGGCAGAAGTAGTGTTTGTAGACCCACTTAGTGCTGTTGCTGATAGCAAAGACTGGCTAGCTGTTGAAAGAGTAGGTGAAGGCAAAGACACAGGGGATGTGGCAGCTGAAGCTATAGCCTTGATTTTGTTGGTTTCAGTTTGACTCACCTTAACTGTTGATAATAATAAATTACCTGCTGAAGTTACAGCAGCCAGTGGTTGTGCAGTGTTTAGGGGACCAGTCGTTTGTGACAAGTGCGTAATATCCTTGTTAAAAATTGTACTAGGTGACTGAGTGCTAGCATTTGCAGGGCTTGTCACCAGAACAGATGTTAAAGAAACACTGACATTCGGTATTTCTGATGAAGTTGTGCAGTGCAGGTCAGATGATTTTTGATGTAGTGACTGAATGTCCTTGGGCACAATTTTTCCCTCCTTCTGCTGAATAAGAAAATTCTTAGGTAAAATAAGGACTTGTTGCATAACTTTCTCTCCAGTTTTAGGGTCCATCACAGGTTGCATTTGAATTTTCACAGAGCTGTTCTGGAGATCTACTGGTACACAATGGGCATTCGGCATTTTGTATCCCATTTGTAAAGGAGTCTTCGAACTAGTTTGGCAGGTCAATGCTGGTTTTATCAGTGATGGTTCCAAAGGTGGTGAAACTGTCTTTTCAGAAGTAGATACACTTACGCCTGCAGGAGGTGACAGCTGATTTGTTAAGGTCACTTTGTTCCCAGTATTCTTGGCAAGCAATGCCTGGATGGGTTTGGTCCCTTTCAGAAAGTTTGACACTGATGTTGTAGGATCTGTCAAGGAAAATGATTCTGGAGTTGACCCTTCAAATTGTTTCAGCTCAGCCAAACAACTATCTGGCTGCAGGCTACTTTCTGAAATCTGGACCACAGCCTCATTAGTGCTCAGTTTAGCTTTCTTCCTCGGTGAAAGCTCATTAGTGTTTTGATCCAGACAACTGTTTTGCTTGGACTGTCGTTTAATACATTTGGGCAGTGTCTTCTGTATTTCTTTGGAAGTTGATTCTTTTTTCAGAATTCTGTTTTTTCCTGCAGGTAAATTCATCCCCAATAATTTCATTTCATCTGCAAGGATATTAAAACAGAAACTACGTTTTACTTATCTGTGACTGATTACCTCTATATAACAATTATATAGTATCTAGTCTGGGGAAAATAATGCCTACTTCTTTGAGGGCATCTGGTCAAGAACCTTTTAAATTAAAAAAGATGGTAATAAAGAAAGGAGGAAGTAATTAACAAGACATGCAAGGACATAAACCTGACCAGCATGGGAGATCGTGAGGAAAACCAAACTTGGTCATTCAAAGTAACTGATGATGTCATTTAAGAGTGTGAGAATGCTTACTCCAGCAAAGTTATCTTGAGGGAAAAAAGGGAAACACCAGAAAAAAAATATACAGAGACACCGATCTAACAAAATATCCATGGAGATAATGACAATAATCAACCTCACCAATCACACCAATTGATAGGCTATCAAGAAATTGCAGGTTCCCCTTTCAGGAAGATTAATCTGGAGTTTGCAACAGATATGACTCTCCAGGGTAGATCTTGGACACTGGGCTGGAAGGGGTGAGGTAATCAGTAGGGCTATACAAACTCATGAAGGGATGTGTAGTGAAAAGGAGAGGTGCAAGGACAGAGCAAGAAGTGCAACCTATGTGCCTAGTGCCAGCTGCTGGGGGATGCCTGTGTCTTACCCAAATCTAGTGTACATGAGGGCAGTGTCTGTTATTGATTGACAAACCAAGACAGATTAGCCAGCGAACAGATGGGGCTGGGGCCTGGGCATATCAGGTGGAGTTTTAAGTATGTGAGGCCTGTGGGACAAGGGTGTGAATGCCACACATTTCATATGAAGCATCAAGCATCACCAGTAAGTGAGCAGGGGATACATGAAGTGCACAAGAGGGCCCAGGATGCAGGCAGGGGTGCTGGGTGGACAGAGGCACTGTGCACTGAGGTGTTGCCAAGGTTTTAGCAGTGCAGGGTTGCAGGAGGGGCCTCTGTGAAGACAGACCAGGAGCTGTCCTGTGCCAGACACAGCTGGCTCCAACAGAGGTCCATTGCAGGACATAAATGAACCTGTCAGCCAAGCTGGTGATGCCTCATGAAAAATGCTGTGCTGGAGAGTGTGACAAAGAGATGTTAAGAAAAAATGAAGGAGAAAAAACCCTGCAGACACCAAGGTCAGTGGAGAAGACGGGAAAGATGTGTTCCAGGCACTGGAACTGACTCCCCTGCAACTGTGAAGACCCTGGTGAAACAGGCTGACCACCTCCCACGGAGGACCATGCTGTAGTAGGTAGCTACACTGCAGCCTGTTGAGGACCCTATTCCACAGCAGGTAAATATGCCCTGAAGGAAGCTGCAGCCCATTGAAAACTGGCTTCTGACAGAACCCATGGCTTATGTGGCACCCAGACTGGAGCAGACTTATCTTGAAGGACTCTAGCCTGTGGAGAGGACCCGTAGCTCACGAAGCACTGTATCCTAGGTGCAGGAAGGACCGCACACTGAAGCAGGGCAGAAGTGTGAGGAAGGAGCAGCAGAGACAAAGTATTATGAACTGACCTCAACCCCCAATCGCCAACCTGCCTGTATCACTTGACAGAAGAGAAGGTAGAAGAATTGGGAATGAAGTAGAGCCTGGAAGAAGATGCAGACAGTGGTGTGGTGGGGTGGAAGAAGCTGTTTCCGTTTCTGCCTTTGTTTCTCACCATTCTACTACTCTATTTTGAATTATCAATAAATCAAATTATTTTCTCTAAATGAGTCTGTTTTGCTTGTGACAGTAACTGGTGAGTAATCTTCCTGTATGTATCCTGACCCAAGTGTTTTTCCACCTTTCTCTCCCTGTCCTGTTAAGGGGGCTGACAGAGTAGCTTGGGTGGGCATCTGGCAGTCAGCAAAGTCAACCCATCATAAACATAAATTTTGAGCAGGCCTACTATGTTATTACAGAAATAATTAAACACAAAAATGGCAACAACCTGTGTTAATCAGAATCTTCATCTTGGTCATGTCTAGCCTTTTCTAACCTACATCTGTCAGACACACATCATGAGCAATTTCAATACTGTCACAGTAGTAGGTAAGGTAGAAGTAGCACATAAGCTCACATGGAAAAATGAAGCTTGTGAATCAAGTTCAAGCTATGAAATTCCAGTAAATGCTTACCATTGTCGGGGTTATCTTTTTTGGAAAATTCCACATGTTCTGCAGACTCTGAAGGTTTACCACATACTACTGCAAATAAATCTTTGCCAGAATCAACTTCACTTTCATCATTACTCCACAATTCTCTGTTAAATTTATCATGGTCTGGATGCCTTTTAAAGTCATCATAGTCCTTCTTCAATCTAGATCTTGAAAATAAAAAAGAAACTAACAAGTAAAGAACCACACCTTTTTTTTTTCTTTTTTTTTTTTTTTTTTTAATTTGTATTTGCTGCCACACAAAAAAAAAGTTACTGTAGAATTGCCTGTGTCCATCAAAAATTTCAGGGTAGCTCTATCTGCAAGTCTCCAAAACCCAGAAAATGTGAAGTGACAATAACACCCTTTCCCTCACCAAAGCTGAATTCCATGTCATGGAATCTTATAACAACAGGCCAAAAGATACTACTTGTAATGTCATAGGGGTTAGACCCAGACTAAATTTTATTCCACACAAGAATTCCACATAAGAATAAAATCTTAAACAATAGCCCAAAAGACAAATATGACCATCACTGTTTTACTACATCCATCTTCTGTTTTTTCCTTCATCTTGCATTGTGACAAATGAATCTGTATGGACTTGTGCATTAACTGTAATAAATACACTCTTTCCTCTGAATGTAACCCCAAATAGAGAATTAAGTAAGTTTTGTATTTCCTACATGCATCATGCATTTGGCCCAGCTATGGACCATCAGGTTAACTTTCTCTTTTAAGAGAACTTTCCTATCTCTGGGCCATTAGTACAGCTGCTACTGTCATTCCCATAGGCTCACACTCAACTAAAAAATGTGTACATTACAAATACATAGCTGCTTTACTTACTTAACCCCACTCAGAAACACATCCGTTTACCTTGATTCTCCTAACCAGATACATATTTCCATTATCCCTTCTTCTAAACTATTGTTTAGGTGAGATCTAGGGAGTATTTTAATATACAGTGAACTACAGGATTCAGCTAGTGACCAATATAGTATCTAGGAAGATTACTTAGCAAATGAATAAATAGCAATTAGCACCTTACGTGGAATATAATTTAGTCTGGATCTAACCTGTATGACAGTAAGAATAGTATCTTAAATCTACCCATTCTTATGCATTAAAATAAAGTTTGCACTGAGTGCAGCAACAGCCAGCTGCTATCTAAGGAATTAAGAGGAAAGAGCCAAGCATGAAGCCCATGGCAGCAGGGGTGGCACTAGGTGACCCTAAGGTCCTTTCCAACCCTAACCATTCCATAATTCTATAATTCTACGAAGTCACAGCTGGCAGGGCATGAGCCTCACCAGTCACGATGCCATCCCACTACCTCTGAATGAAGGAGCAGGGCCTGCCTAGAGGTGGTAACTGTGCTCAATCAAGAGCCCATATCAGCAGGCAAGTCCCTGGTGCTGAGGCGGGTCTGAAGTCAAGCTGGGAAGTCAATTTGCAGCTTCAGATCAGGATCAAGTCCAATTATAACCTTGATGGTCAGGACTTGGTCGAGGAATTTCTGGGAAGGTCCACAGCGATGATACAGGCCCAAGGTCAGTCTGAGGATCAATCCAGATCAGCAGGACCTGTGGCCAGGCAGGTAACTGCTGTAGCTGAGTGGGAAACTGGTATTCTTATAGCACAGATTGAAGGCTGCCGAATGACCTGAAATGGGGATCCTAGGCATGGGCATGTGACGTGATGTGGACAGAGGCTCAGGTGACGCTGATTAAGATCCATAAAGCCTGATAGTTACTCACAGCTTTGACACTCTCACAGAGAGAAGGCAACCTTGAAGTCTGTATGATTCAGTCATTAGGATTTTGAGCATGAGGTTGAGACGTAGAAGAACTACAGAATGACACTAGGCAACTACTAAAGCTTCTGGACGGAAATTTCCTTTTTCTTTTGAGGAACTTCTGCTGTGGGTCTAGTGAACAAATATGATCAGTGGACACAAGTAACCTTTTCTTTTAAACATTGCTGCTATTCAAATACCATTCAACATTATACTCTGTCATAATTTTGAAGACACCAGAGGACCTTTCAGAAGGGAAGTAAAAAAAATTGATTTTGCTCATAAAGGCTGCTCGTACTAATTGAAAACATCAAAAAAGTAAGGAAGGTAAACTCCAGTTTCTTATTCCATATGAGGCCTTACACAGAAGGAAGGAGCTCTGTCAAGGCTTTCACAACCTAGAAGGCCAACATTGTCATTCAGTTAGTAGATGTTAGTATCTGGTTGAGACCCCCTATAGACACTGCAACTGCAGCCAGACTTTGGTGGTGCTGTTGTTCATACCAGCACAAGCAATCTTTACTCAAATGCTTTTTTCTTTTCACACGATACCTTTATGCACCACTGTAACTGGTGCTACACTGCTGCCTTCCCTCACCCAACTCTCTTTCCTCCCCACAATCTGTAGAGATTGTTATTCAGCTGGAGCTGTTCCCTGGTACACTATGTGTCTGCCCAAACAGTTGTCATATGAAATGTCTGCCCAAACAGTTATGTTATGAAATTCAGCAGCACTGCTGAATAGATTTGCATAAATGAGAACCCTGCATACTGGAAACAGTAATACTTTTAGAAAGGATTTCAATCTGCCACATTTCTAAAAGGAGTTTGAATTGCTACAAACATCCTAGACTTCCAAACAAGGATTTTAATTCATGCACTGTACCGATGGAATGAGCTGCTTAGGAACCAATTCGTAGTAGTTCTATGTTTACTGTCTTTGGTGCTACATTGTTGGGGTTTTTAAACATAACACTTTTTACACTTTTCAGACAGAGTTCTGTACCCTGTAACTGTGTAAATTGCTTCCTTCACACTCAAAATTCAAGCACCGCTTGGGGACGGGCTGGGTATTGATCAGCAGGTGGTGAGCAGTTGTATTGTGCATCACTTGTGTTTTCTGATTTTTCATTTCTGTTGTTGTTGTTGTTCCCTAGTATTGGTGTTGTTATTGTTGGTATTATTTTTATTACCACTATATTCTACTTTATTTTAATTATTAAACTGTTTTTGTCTCAACCTGGGGGTTTTATATTCTTTGGATTTTCCTCCCCATCCTGCCTAGGGAGGGAAAGTTGAGGGTGAGAGGGAGGCATGGCACTTAGTGACTGGCTGGACTGAAACCATGACAGATACCCTAGTCTAGTTTTCTAGATACAGGTTTTCAGTACCTCTTAACCAAATAAACAGCAATATATATCCTGACTCAATTGCAAGTATTGATAGGCACAATTAAGCATTTTAGGGGAAAAAATATTAGGGAGTTAAGCTCAATTTTATTAGTCAGCTTTGGAGACAGTAAGTCTGGAACATAAAATCATTCTTCCAAATAAAGCACTGCCAGTGCCTCACTGCTCTCCACAAAGTATTTTCATTTAAAAGGAGAATTCTGCTGTTTTCTACTCCATACAATCTTGTTAAAAAAAAAAAAAAAAAAAAAGAAGGACCATCTGATTACCTGTTTCTTTGAAATGCTTTCATTAGCTTTGGTTCCCATGGTAATAGTTCATTAAGCAGTCGTATCAATGTACCATGCAATTCCTTTACTGCTTGCTTCCGGTGGTACCATCTTCCCTGCAAATACAAATGACATTTATTTACCATTGCATTAGACCTGAACCTTGTTATATTTTATTAGTACTACAGTAATCCTGGTTTACTAATACAGAATATGAAGAAAACAGCTGCAAGAAAATATTAAGTTTCACAGTTTAGACTTAACCTATGTAAGACATTTACTTTTTTATATTACAGATAATGTTCTAGCTAAAAAAGCAATACTGCAAAGATGTTCACTTTTTATAGGTGAAACTTAAGTATAATCGTACAAACGTATCATGTGTTTAAAATTACTTAACTGAGTACTTAACACAGGTTAAGGAAACCTACCATGTATGCATACTCCTAATAGATAGAATTCCTACAGAAAAGTCTTACCATAATCTCATTTAATGTAAGTGATGCAATTTATATTATTGTAATTGTTTGCAAAACAATTTACTACAATTTTCGGGGAAAAAACCCTACACAATTTTTGCATTACATTTCGTATGTTATTCAAAGTTCTCTATAAAGGGTTTTTTTAATGAAAAGTTTTGCAAATCGGTCATTTATGAAGTAACAGACTATGCAGTAGAAGCCAGTTTTCCAACATTAAAGTTTTCAACTTTTAACTCAAATGCATAATCAAAAATTAGTTTCTTTTCCAAACTGATACATGTAATCTTACGATCTTCAATGAAGAATTCACGTTTTCGTAAATCTGGAAAGGCTGAATGTGGATAAAAGACACTGTGAAGTGACAATTACCATGTATATACACACATACAGCACAACCATGGTGGCCATAACACTGCAGAGTACATCTCTTAACACTTGTAGATACTCTTGTAAGTATTTTTTTCCCCATTATTTTTTTCTCCAGTTTATTACATAAGACTGAACAATTCACATATACGTAACAGAAAAAGAGAAGCGGCATACTCTAGTACTTCTCCCACTTTACTAGTTCTGCACATTTTACATAAGTGATGATTTTATCTCTTGACTTCTCAGAAAGGATGCAAGACAATGAAAAGACTTCTTTTCCAAGAAAAAGAAGCAAGACTTGGGAACTTATTTATTTTGATAGAGCACGTATCTTTCACAGCTTCCTGTGGTCTACCACACCAAGAAACACAGAGCAGGAAAAGCTGGATGAAGCCTGACACAGCTGCCTCTCAGCAGTCTGCAATAATGATTTTCTTTTGGAGCAATTCCTTTCTATACATCTCAGCAGATCTGTCCAATGTACAGCATGATCAATCAGTCTGAATGCTTGTTTGAAGAACAGGTATATATTTTTTATGGATAATAATTTACATGTTGTATAACACAATTAATACCTATTCTTTTAATTCTTTAATTAAAATTATAAAAGTGAAGATTTTAAGTAGGAAAATATGCCAAATTACCCCTTAATGGTTAGTGCTGAGCACATAAGACAAACCAGCAAACTGTACTCTTACCTCCCTTATTTGCAGCCAGTCATACAATCATAGAATAGTTATGGTTGGAAAGGACCTTAAGATCGTCAAGTTCCAAATCCCTGCCATGGTCAGGGACACCTCGCACTAAACCATATCACCCAAGGCCTCGTCCAACCTGGTCTTGAACAGTGTCAGGGATGGAGCATTCACAACCTCCCTGGGCAACCTATTCCAGTGCCTCACCACCCTAACAGGAAAGAATTTCTTCCATATATCCAATCTAAACTTCCCGTTTAAGTTTTAACCCGTTCACATCTGCAGGGGTAAATGCACTGCCCCATAAAACCTGATACAGAGCACTGCAACAGAAAACATCATTTGTATATACTGTGGCCTACGAAAGCATTTGATATCACATCCTAATGTAGCAGTCAAAAGAATTAATTGCTAACATATGAAGGAATTGCTAACATATGAAAGAATATTATGTATACAGTCTTATCTTTTCTGTAAGACATACAAAACATTTCAGTTTCAAAAGGATGAATTAACATACTACAAAGTATTAGCTGATTGCATCAAAACAAAAATCAAAATGGCAAAAATAAACATTGCCACCACTATCAGAATACAGAAATGCTGTACATGCATTTGATAAGCAAAAATTGAGATGTGTAAAAGCATAGTATTAAGATATTTATGCAATTACTACAGATTAAGAACAACATGAAATTATTGATTTATGAGATTCATCTTTAAATCAGGGTAAGAGCTTAAGTAGAAAAAATGAGTACTTATGAATCAGGTATCAGCCAATCACTGAAAAAACTTTGAAGTGATAACTGTATCATGCATTGAATAGCCAGACATAAGCAGAAGGTTTAGGCAAGAGCAGACTTCAAGAATTTACTGCCTTGATTAACACTTCCTAGAAGAACAAATACAAATCACTTGTCTTTTTGTTTACAAAAAATGGAACAAAAACCCTAACCGTTCCTCTATCCCTTGAATTTTAGAGCTGGTTTTTAACAAAAACCAGTCTCTTCTGTATATAACCTCTGTAAAGCTCAGTATCTACTTCAAAATAACTTTAATACAACTATTACAGCAACATAATTTTAAGCAAATGTAAGTGCATTGTTTCCCATTACTCCAGTTACTAATTTCTACAGATAATAAATTTGCCTTTACAAATGTCTGTGTGGCAGACTGCACTCAGTAACACCAAACAGCTACAAATTGATGCTTAGGAGGTTCAGGCTGGACATTTTCATCAGAAACATACAACACTGTAGCAGGCAGCACAGAGGAGCTGTTGAATTTCCTTTTTTCTTTCCTGTTTTCAAAACTGGGCTAGTCAGGTCGTTGATGACTTAATGCAGCACTGACAACAGTCCTGCTTCAAGGTGGGGAGACCTCCAAATATCCCTTTAAACCACTTATTGCAGGGTACTATGTGATGATAGATAAGAAGCCTCTGACTAACTCAGGTGTGTACTGAGTTATGTTCTCATGCGGTCTGTAATACACTACACCAGTACCACTGCTTGTATCTTAAAAAACAGTGATGAGTAGTGTCCCTCAGGGATTGGTGTTGGGACCGGCCATACTCAACATCTTTGTGGGTGACAGGGACAGTAAGATTGAGTGCGCCCGCATGTTTCGGTTGATACACTGGAGGGAAGGAATGCCATCCAGAGGGACCTTGACACGCTTGTGAGGTGGGCTGATGCCAACCTTATGAAGTTTAACCATGACAAGTGAAAGGTCCTACACCTTGGTTGGGGCAATCCTAGGCACAGCTACAGGCTGGGAAGAGAGGAGGTTCAGAGCAGCCCTGTGGAGAAGGACTTGGGGGTGTTGGTCGATGAGAAAATGAACATGAGCCAGCGGCAGTGTGCGCTTACAGCCCAGAAAGCCAAACGTATCCTGGGCTGCATCAAAAGGAGTGTGACCAGCAGGTCGAAGGTAATCCTGCCCCTCTACTCTGCTCCTGTGAGACCTCACTTGGAGTATTGTGTGCAGTTCTGGTGTCCTCAACATAAAAAGGACATGGAACTCTTGGAAGAAGTCCAGAGGAGGGCCAAGAGGATGATCAGGGGACTGGAGCACCTCCTGTATGAAGACAGATGCTATGGGCAGTGTCACCTCACACTAAACCATGTCACCCGAGGCTCTGCCCAACACGGCCTTGAACACTGCCAGTGATGGACCATTCATCACTTCTTTGGGCAACCCGTTCCAGTGCCTCACCACCCTAACAGTAAAGAACTTCTTCCTTATGGAATGGGCTGCCCAGGGAGGTTGTGAATGCTCCATAGCATCCTTAGCAGCTCTTTATCCACCCAAGGAGGTCTCCTGGCCTTCCTGCTGCACTTCCTTCTAGTTGGGACACAACACTCCTGGGCTTGTAGCCAGGTGATCCTTGAGTACCAACCAACAGTCTTGGGCCCCCCTGCCCTCTAGGGCTACATCCTATGGAACCTTACTGAGCAGGTTCCTGAAGAGGCCGAAGTCTGCTCTCTTGAAGTCCAGGGCACTGAGCTTGCTGCACGCTCTTCTCACTGTCCTGAGGATCTCAAACTCAACCATCTCATGATCGTTACAGCCAAGGCCGCCCTGGAACACCACATTTCCAACCAGCCCCTCCCTGTTGGTGAGCACAAGGTGAACCATGGCACCTCTCATTGTCAGCTCCTGTATTACTTGCAGATGGAAGTTGTCTTCCACACAAAAGGAACCTCCTGCATTGCTTGTGCCGGGCCGTACCATCCCTCCAAGAGATACCAGGGTGGTTGAAGTCCCCCAGGAGGATAAGGGCCTGAGAGCATGAGGCTGTTGCTATCTGTCTATAGAGCACTTCATCCACAGAGTCCTCTTTATCAGGCGGCCTGTAATAGATCCCCACAGTAATGTCCCCCATAGCTGTTATCCCTTTGACCCTGACCCACAGACTCTCTGTTAACTGATCACACCTGTCCCCAGGCAGAGTTCCGTACTCTCCAGCATATCACTGACATAAACAGCAAGTTCCCTTCCCGATTTGCAGGGCCTGTCTTCCCTAAAGAGCCTGTAACGTTCTATTCCAACACTCCAGTCATAGGAGCCATCCCACCATGTTTCTGTGATATCAGTTATATCCCCATAGATGTGCACACATCTCTAATTCCTCCTGTTTATTCCACATACAATGGGCGTTTGTTTAAAGGCATCACAGTATTCCAGGCGCAGCCTCACAAGTGCCCAGTACAGGGGGATGATCACTGCCCTCGCCCTGCTGATACAGGGCAG